TTTATTTATTAATTAATATTTTATTATTTAATATAATTTAAATTATAAAATACTTGATATATTAAATTTTAAAAACTCTTAAAAATATAATTTTAAAGGTGAAATAAACAACTTTTTTCCACTCTACCGATGTCCATGACGCCGCATCTCAGCCTATATATGCTGATTTTGCCTTCAGTTCAACTAACTTTTCTGTTTGGTGAGGAAATGCAAGTTCAACTAACAGCAAATGTGCACCATCTGTCATCGAGTAGTTGTTAAGTGCATTTATGCATTTAGTACTTTAGTAATAAAATTTTTTTTTATCTTTTTACTCCTAAATTGTGCTTATTCCAAAAAAAGAAGAAGAAAAAAAAAAACTAACTGCAAATGTACATCAAATTTTATAGTTCAATTATTAAGTGTATTCATTATCTTTATGACAACCGAAATTCAAAGTATGCCGTTGTGGTGCAATAAATTTCTCATCCAGAAATCAAGAAAGAAAGAAAAAAAAAACACCGCAAATGCACGCGGTGAACGATTTCAGGACGAAAATAATCGTGATGGATCGTATGATTAATTCTTTTGGTTAAGGGTTAACTCATACATAATAAGAAAATTGTTTAGGAATAATTTTTTTTATATTATTTTTTATATAATTTTATGTGTTATTTAAATAATTTTTTTTATTTATTTGTAACATGTGATATTAAATGTATCAAATTATTTAATAATATATAAAAATTGTATAAAAAATAATATAAAAATATTATCCATATATCACTATCTATATAATATAAGAATAATGTAGAGTATCTCATTTTTTAAAATTATTTTTCAAAAATTAATTTAAAAAACTATTTAATAATATATAAAAATTGTATAAAAAAATAATATAAAAATATTATCCATATATCATTACCTATATAATATAAGAATAATGTAGAGTATCTCATTTTTTAAAATTATTTTTCAAAAATTAATTTAAAAAACTATTTTTAATTAATTAATATTTTTTAAAATTAATTGTTGAATTAAAAATTTTATTTATATAAATTATGCATACCAATTTTTATATTGATTTAATACTTATAACCTTTTAAAACATTTTTATTTACTAACATACATTTAACTAACGTGTTAAATTTATTATAGTTAAGAGTAGTTAGGCCTACTAGATCAACATAAAAATTTACATGCATAATCTATATGAAAAAAACTTTTAATTCAATAATTGATTTTTAAAAATATAATTTAAAAAATGAGTTTTTAAACATATCTTTTAAAAAAAATTTGAAAGGACGGTTTGTGAGACACTTTTCTCATAAAATATTATTAGAGATATTATTATTAAAAAATAGTATACATCAGTTCATTCTTCTTAAAAAA